AATTTATTTTTGGTTTATTATTATAAATTTTATAAAGATAATTATTAAGTATTCTGTTAGAATTTAATGATTATATTAGTTATATTTTAGATTTTTTATATTTAAAATGAGATGTTTATCCTGTATTTGATTGTATTTATCTGCAGTTAGTTACACGAATTCAGGTATGAGAGGAAATTGGATAGGAATGAAATCGTTTAGAGATGAACGAGTTTAAGAATTTTTAAGAGTTTTAACCAAATCCTTTATAAGATATTATAGATTAAATGCATTCCCTAGCTTGTGTGAGACACATCCATCAATAATTATTAATTAATTACTAAATCTATTTAATTTAGTTGCGAAATTCCTAAACTTTTTTCTTAAAAGAATTTACAATAATCAAATGTTTGTCAAAAAAAACCCACCAATTCACGTTGCTCCCCTTAACTTCATATATATTGTCTTACCTTCAATTCAATTCCCTTTCTCTTTTTTAAACATACATGTCCTTTTGTGATTTCCACTACCAACCACCCATTTTATCATCTTCTAATCCACCATGCTACCGGTAATTAATTCCCACTGAAAGTCGTGTATCACTTTCAGATTGAAGTATTTCGATGGTACAATTGGATAAAATTCAATGATTTTCCCGAACAAAGAGTTTTTCGTGTAATTCGTAACTTTTCCCTCAAACGGTCGAAAACAATTAAAAAACCGGGTTTAAAATTTCAAATTCGGATTGTGAGTGTGCTATTGCTATTAGGTAGATTGATGGATGAACAAGGAATGGTACCGTGTTTTGAAGTTACTTGAAGGATGTTATTTGAATTTGGGGTTGGTGTAGCTAAACGACATGACATATACATGGTTTTTAGTTAAGGACGAGCACATGTACATGTAACATAACATGTAACATGTAACATGTTGGTTGGGGTTGCTGAATGCTGATGTGATTGCTGGTTTGACAGCAACTATATATATATATATATATATATATATAGGGATGGGTTCAAACGAGAACCCCTGTGATTTACGAAAACGCGAGAACAACTCAATAACCACATATTGTGATAAAAAATTAAATTAAAAGATTTTTAAAATTAAAATTAAATTTTAAAAAGATTCAAAAAA